ATTAAAATAAAATTTTCATTTTGTTTCAAAAATATGACAAAGATCATAACATCTTTTCTAAGCCAAAATCTTTTACAAATCATGATAAAATAGGATCTGATATCTTAAGTTTAAACTGCTACTGTGCCATTATGAGCACTTACATATATATGTGTGTATATTTTATACTATATACAATATACAACCATGTAACACTAAATTCTAAACTTTAAAACCCCTCTTATTTGCATGCTGTAATACAGATCAAAATAAGGAAACTCTAAAGTACCTAACAAAAAGTCTGGTAGTAACATTTTGGTAGAGCCTTTTTTTTTTTTTTTGTCTTTGAGGTTTGAGTGCGGAGTACACTGTTAAAATCAGCCCAAGGCTGAATCTGACACTACCATGAACTAAAATCTGAAGAGGAACTTTAGTTACATCTCTGCTGAGACCATGTGCTCTCACAAGAGCCAAGTCCCTTCTCATCTATTCTGCTTCTGTGTCAGTACATCTTGGCCACTGCTTTGGCGAAAGCTGCAGACCAATGCCTGAGTACTGCCCCAAGACTTGCCTAAGTTGGTGCTAACTAAGATTTGGTGTGACAGAAAAGTTTAGGAGAAAGGAAGCCAATATGCTGCAGAAAGGCTTTAATCAGAGCATAGTGTTCAGACTTTCCACAGAAGTAATCTTGACTCCCTTCATCTAATATTTGGCATCAAACCCAATAAACTGACCACCAAAAACACCAATATATCTAAGATACACACAGATTTAGCGAGATTCAATATTATGCAATTCCATATGAGGTCATATACATAGTCTGTCCATCTTTCTTTCATTTTTAGTCCAAGCTATGGTAAGTTAGAAGTAGCACAAATCACCCTTTGAACCTGCAAGATAGTTCAATTCCATCAAACCAGAACTTTTTTGCTTAATTCTAGTCTCAGATAAAGCTTAGTCACAAACCCATACTGACAACACTTTTGGCAAAATTTAAGAGATTACAACCACGATTTGTCAAGATAGCTTTGAAGACAGCATGTGATCTAATTATTTTTGCGAATTATTTTTCAGACTACTCTTCACGGAAAACCATTTGGGCCTATTTCTATTCCACAGCAGAATGCTGCCAGTGACATTAGTGCTGCAGTTGTGGGTTACTTTTTTATATGCAATATACAGGCTTCTCATTGTTCCTTTTTTTAACAAAGTAATTACTGGTAAAAATCTCAAGAAGAAATACATGGAAATCTTGCTTATAAGCTTGAAAAAAGATCATGATCTTACCTTTGGATCATTTTCAAGCACATGTGCTAATCTTTTTAAGTTTAATTGATCATAATTAACCCGATAGTATCCAGATAAATTTACATTGAGCAGGATCCAGTCATACTCTGATTCTGATACTTGCATTTCAGGAAACATTTCTGCAAAGTGACATTAAAGTTTAGCAATGCACAGAAAACAAAGTGATACATTCTCTTGCATTTATAAACATTGGGTTCAGTGCTCCTCTGCAGCCTAAAGCACAAGTTGGAGGCTGGACACAAAGAAACCCCACAAAGCCAGGTATATTCGAACTCCAAGTCTGGACAGCAGAAGAACTTCAAGACGCAACTGATTTGCCCAAGTCACTCTGAAGATGGCAAAGAGGAGGCTGAAGAACCTACGTGCTCCTACTCAAAGGAGCTGGCAAGCAGGCATCTATGAGAGTTCTGAAAGATTATCTGGGAAAACGTTTGCTGCTTCAGCGCTACTCCAAAATTCTGCCTCACATAAGAACTGACTTTCAGTAAGTAACCATATAAATCTAATGCAGATCTACAGAAGCAGAATAGCTTAAGTTTATGCACCAGAGACAAACAATCAAAAAATTATCTGCAAATAAGTCCTGTAGCTCTCATGAGTCATATCACTTACCAAAGGTATCCTTCTACAGTCCCATTTCACAGTCCCTAGTTATTACCCAGACTATCTGTCTGATTACCTGTTCCCATCAACTCAAGAAGCTGATGAAGCTTTGAAGGCTCTATGTTGCCTCATCACAAGTGCAATTGAACACCACTTTAACTGGGTTTTATCAGACTGGTTAAAGAAAAAAAAATCAAACTCTTCTTGATGGGCGAGTCAAGAGTTAACGATGAAACTGCTGAATTGTACAAACTCTGATGATGTGGCAGAGATGCAACAGGGAAACAGTGAGTACTGTCCGCAGCAGGAAGATAGGGAAGTGGGAAATGCCATGCAGGCAAGGAGGTCTCATTTTGCTAAAGGCTGCAACAAAATAAACTGGACACACATACACACACCGATAAGGGACTGAGATCCGTCACAATGACAGTGCAAAACCACGTATTCTCATGGATCTCACCTGATGATTTTAGAAAAAGTGCCTTGTAAGAATGACCCTACCAGGTCACGTACTTCTTCCCTGAGGGTATAAATGACTGAGTCGAGTGTCACATGTGTGTGTGTATATTCAAGGACCCACTGGGCCACTGGTTGGCTAGTGAGCCACCTAGTAGCGAAAGGACTTTCTGATCCAGCAGTTAAAGACCCAGGTGGATTGCACGCGGTCCCTGATAATTTGACTTTGACTGAGAAACACACACAAAATGTCTTTGCATGAATGAATAAGATGGCATAGGGTGCTGGCCCTCTAGTCAAGAGTCTGACTGGGCTCAGGATAACTGGAGTGACGAATCCTCTGTTGTGAGCGGAACACAAGACAGCAGAGGAGTGTGCTCCGTTCTGGGAGCCTGCCTGGCAGTGCAACAGGAGCAACACGAGCACTAAAACATCAAGCAACTAGATGAGAAGATTCAGAAATGTGAATGTAAAGAACAAGAGCTTGGGACAGAGGGGGGAAAAATAAACAGAAGTTTTTAAGACAAACTAGAATTCATTCTCTCCCAAGTGACACATCCCCCTACTGCAACGCAGATCAGGAAATTGATAGTGGGAGGAACGAAGCAAGGAGGCAGAAGTGATCAGCTGTCTGTTCCTGCAGACCAAGGAAAAGACCCACCTCCAAACGCCCACAACCCTTTCTCAGAGCAGAGGAAGTAATTATGAGACTTAAAAAAAACAAGTAGCGTTAGTCAGGGGACAGACCAGCCAACCTGAGTGTTATGAGTAGTGCAATGGCCGGAAACAGGTTATCATCCCCGTAGGGCCAAACAAGCATGAACTCTCCTTTTTAATAGATATCTGACCTCAAATCAGAACCTCACCTAAGTCTCCTGTTTTAGAAGCTGAATCCCTGGCTGCTGAGTCCTCAAGGGAGTGTGGATACCCCTTGGATATCCCTTATGGATACCTTAGCATGCCAGACAGCCACAGGGTGGAAATACAAAGCAGCAGCAGCACGAGAAAGTTGATTTTGAATCTGCTAGGCTTATGAATCATGCCTATGCACCTGGGAAGCTACTGATAACAGCAGGGCAAAATTAGTGAACCTAGAACCTTGCGAATCCATTGGTGTGATCTGACTATCTACTAGTCGCAGGTAGGGGTATTATCTTTGGGGAAATTCCTTTTAATCTGATGGAACACCTCAATATCACCAACTTAAAAGATACACTCAATGCTGAGCATGCAGAATCACAAGTTATTGGCACTGTGCTCATGCATTGCTACAATTACAATTTGAATCCACTTGATGCTTCCAGATCCCAAATAATCCAACAGATACCTGTCAAACTAAAGAACCTTCCTCTGTAAATTGTATACAGTTTCTGCCAAACTAAATAGTCTTCCTTTTTAAATTGTATGTGGTCTCCCTCTGAATTAAACGGCCAATCCCTTTGGAATTCCACCACTCCACACAATTGTTCCCCATTTGGCGAGTATATTAGATGGCAACTAACCAGTGAGTGTGAGCACAAACTCACTTGGCAACTGTGATATCCCTGTTTGCTGGGACATTGACTCTCTATCTAAGAGATCCAGCATCTTACAGCAGAAGGTTTTCAACTGGACCAATTAGTCATGGAATGATTTCCCCCGAGAAGTTTGGGTGGTATCAGCACTGCACCAATTTCTTCAGGACATGTGCATCTGTAATGAATACTTGACTTTAGACTCTTTCTGATGGACACAGCAGCCCTCCGACTAACCCAACTTATCATGGGGTAGCCAGTACCAGTAAATCCCATCACACTGATTATACCCACCTCCATACCACACTTTGTGGTTTTGCTCTGACAATATAACGATTTTGCACTTGTCGCCCTTGGAACACCGAGGACTGTGCTGTACCTCTGCTGTCCCACCTTTAGACACGACAGTTAGGCCTTTCCCCAACCCAAATGTCACTCTCATCATAAGGCAAAGGCAGGCACCGCCCCTAGGTTTGGGGTGTATCTAGAAGCTTGTCTTGCCTGGCCTAAATTGATCTCACATGATACCCCAATTGATTAATGTCTCCGCTGTAGCTAATCGGACTGCACGCGTGTTTGAAACACTACATCAACAGTGTGACAAAGTGCAAAGCTGATGCTACAGAACAGGTTGGCACTGGACATACTGTTACTAAAGGAACAAGGACTGAGTTGAATCCTTGGTAAGATGATGGGAGAATGCTGTATCACTGTAGAAAATGCCTCCTCTACAATACAGGATGCCCAGAAAGTATTAAGCCAAGTGTCACAAGGGCTCAGGAATATGAGGGTCATGACAGTCCCTTTTGACTTTTCCACAAAGTGTCTTCGGTCACCTCTCTGTTAAAGAGATTGGGACTGACCAGATGCGTGAGGCACTTACTAGCCTGGTTATTCCCCATCATCCCTATCATAATAAGCATTGTGTTCTCAAGTCTAAAGCAAGTAATCCTGAATACCTTGTCTCTTAAGATAAACTCTCTCCAAGTGGCTTACCAATCTTTGCAAAAAGCACACTCATCAGGCCCATGACTATCCGCTGAGATACGGTCACAGAGATGCGTGACTGAGACCACGGTCATGGGGTAGACTGATGGGAAGGTAAAGAGTCAACGAGGAAACTGCTGAATTGTCGGAACTCTGATGATGTGGCAGAGATGAGGAAAGCAACAGGCACTGTCGCCAGGGGAATTTATGGGGGGAAGGTGGTCTCCCTTTGCTAAAGACTGTAACAATACTCCACTGTTTTTCAACCATGGGGCAGCCCACACAGCACCGGGGCTCCTGGCGACAGGGTTTGCATATCCTGCAGGTGGAACAGAATCCGTGCCCAGGAGTTGGCAGGGCTCATGGAGAGGTCGTTATACTAAGTAGGAATGGGGAGGGGGTTAAAACTGGGATCGCTAGAGATGAGCCTAGAGGCAGTATGCCAGGGTCCGGAGAGAGCTCAGTAGCCCACCTGAAGCACATTGCACCAAAGCACGCAGCATGGCCAGCAAACAGGAGGAGCTAGAGGCCACGGAGCATCAGGAAAACTTTCACACAGACACCATCACTGAAATGTGGTGAGATCACTGTCATGACTGCAGTGCTGCAATGGACGGTTGGCTACAGGCTCTTCAGAAAGGACAGGCAAGGAAGTAAAGGAGGGGGGGTAGCACTGTATGTTAGGGAGTGCTTTGAATGCACGGAGCTCCAAGTGGGTGATGGAAAAGTTGACTGTTTATCGGTCAGGATCAAGGGGAAGGCCAACAAAGCTGATATCCTGGTGGGAAGTCTGCTATGAACCACCCTACCAGGATGAAGAGACAGATGAGGCATTCTACAAGCAGCTGGCAGAAGTCTCACGATCAACAGCCTTTGTTCTCGTGGGAGACTTCAACCTACCAGATGTTTGTCAGAAATTCAATAAGGCAGAAAGGAAACAATCTAGGAGGTTCACAGAGAGCGTGGAAGGTAACTTCCTATCACAGCTGGTAAGTGAGCCTACCAGGGAAGAGCCCTAGGGGACCTGCTCTCTGCCAACAGAAACGGACTGGTGGCAGATGCGATGGTCGGAGGCCATCTTGGGCATAGTGACCACAAAATGATAGTTTCAATTCTTGGTGAAGTCAGGAGAGGGTACCTTGGACTTCCAGAGGGCAGACTTCGGACATTAGTTGAGAAAGTCCCTTGGGACACAGTCCTGAAGAGCAAAGGGGTCCAGGAACGCTGAACTTTTCTCAAGGAGGAAATCTTAAAGGCACAGGAGAAGGCCATCCCTACATGCCAAAAGACGAGCTGGAGGGGAGGAAAACCAGCCTGGCTAAATAGAAACCTATTGCTGAGGCTCCAGGAAAAAAAAA